TTTCTTAAGTCGCGCCGTCAGTCTTTTCTTAAGTCGCGCCGTCAGTTTTTTCTTAAGTCACGCCTGTCTTTTCTTAAGTCGCGGACCTCGACGCGGGTGTCTACGCCTCAATTGCAAAAGCAGCGCCCCTCTGCTTTGGTTGCGCATATTGCGCTGTCTCCCTCGGTCGCGAAAGCAGCGCCTCTTCCACTTTGGTCGCGCATGTCGTGCCGTCTCGGTCCCGAAAGTCTCTCAAGTCGCTGTGATTGCAAAAAACTGAAAAAGCCAAATTTTGGCCGTGAAATACTTGACATGTCTAAACTTGTTCGCGAAAGTCTGGACTTGCCCAAAAAATTGTTTGCGAAAGTCTAAACATTAGTCTGGGATTTCGACCCTGGTGTGAAGGCACATTTTTTATTCAAAATTCCATACGCAGAAATTTGTTTTAGTTTTTGAGTCGTGAAAAATGCCTCGTCTCGACCTTGGTATGGAAAATTTCGTCGTCTCCACTTTGGTCTCGAAAATCGCGTCGTCTCCACTTTGGTTGCAAGCGTCTAGGAACGATAATTTTGGTCTCGCCTGCTAAAGTGGTCGCCCCGTTGCTTTTGAGTCACTCTGCCGCCTCCACGTTTATCGAGAAAGTCGCGAGAGTTTTTTTCTGGGTCACGCCGTCTCCCCCTTGGTCTGGAAAGTCGCCCCGTCTCCACCTTGGTCGCGAAAGATGCGCCGTCTCTACCTTGCTCTCGAAAATTGCAGCGTCTCCACTTTGGTCACGAAAGTCGCGGAGTCTTTGCCTCAATAACAAAAATTGCGGCTAAGTTTTATGGCCGTGAAAGTTTGGAAGTGGCAAATGTTGGTCGCGAAAGACATACCATCGCGATATTTCGGTCGGGCTGTATCCACCTCAGGTTGCGAGAAGTCGTTTATTGGTCGCGCCATCTCTGCCTGGGCCTGGGAAGTTTTGCTGTCTCCGCCTCAAGAAAATTGCGCCGCCACCACATTGGTCGCGAAAGTAACGCAGTCTCCACTTCAGTTGGTGGTTGGCCCGTTGCTTTGTCACTTTGTCATTCGCTCTTCCGCCTCGGCCTAAGTCGCGAAAGCCGAGAGAGTTCTTTTTCTCGGTCACGCCGTCTCCGCCTTGGTGTAGAAAGTCGCGCCGTCTCCGCCTTGATCGCGAAAGATGCACCGTATCAATCTTAGTCTCAAAGTTTGCGCGTTTTACACCTCGGTTGCGAACGCAGCGCCTCCTCCATTTTGGTCGCGCATGTCGCGCCGTCTCCATCGATCCCGAAAGTTGCGCCGTCTCCACCTCAGCCGCGAATGTCGCGCCGTCTCTACGTTGGTCGCGCAAAAGTCGCGGCTGAGTTTTTTTTTGCCCTCGAAAGTATTGAACTCGCAATTCATGGTAGCGAAAGTCGAGAGATACTAAACATGGGTTCGATATTTTGGTCGCGCCATCTCCGTCTCGGTCCCGAAACTCTCTCAATTCGCTGTGGTTGCAAATCGTGGAAAAGCCAAATTTCGGCCGTGAAGTTCTTGGCATGCCTAATTTTGCTCGCTGAGTTCTGGACGTGCTTTAGTCTGGGATTTCGATCCGGGTGTAAAGGCAATTTTGTTATTTCAAGTTTACCTATGAAGAAAATTGTTTTGGTTTTCGAGTCACGTCGTTTACTGAGTCGTGCCTCCTCCTTGGTCTGGAAAGTCGCGCAATCTCCACCTTGGTTGCAAAAGTTGCTCCGTCTCCACATTGGTCGCGAAAATCGCGCTGTCACCACCTCAGTCGCAAAAGTCGCGGCTGTGTTTATTTGCCGCAAAAGCGCGAAGTGGTGATTTTCGGTTGCAAAAGTCTGGACATAACAATTGTGGGTCGCGATTTTTTGGTATCGCCGTATCCACCTCGGTCGCAAAGGTTGCGAAAAGTTGTTTCTTGGTCGTCATCTCCGCATGAGCCTAGAAAGTTGTGCCGTCTTCGCTTTAGTCTGGAAAATTGTGCTGTTTCCGCCTTGGTCCCGAAAACCACCCTATCGACTTGGGTCTCGAAAATAGCGCCTTCTCCACCTCGGTCGCGAAAGTCTGTAATTGGCAATGAATGGTTGCGAAAGTCTGGACATTTAAAAAAAAAGGTTGCGATAATTCGGTCGCGCCATCTTCGTCTCGGTTGCCAAAGTATCACGGTTCACTGTGATTGCGAAAGTTTGTAAAAGCCAAACTTTGGCCTTTGACATGCCTAACTTTGCTCACTAAAATCTGGACGTGCCCAAAATTTGTTTGCGAAAGTCTGAGCATTAGTCTGGGATTCCGACCCGGGTGTAAAAGCAGTTTTTCATTTAAAGTTTCTATATGACGAACCTTGTTTTGGTTTTTGAGTCGCGTGGTTTCCTGATTCCTGCCGCCTCAACCGCACTCGCGAAAGCCGCGAAAAAAATCTCTGGGTCGACCCTTGGTCTAAAAAGTAGCGCCGTCCGTCTCCGCCTTGATCGCGAAATATGCGCCGTGTAGAATTTGGTCTCGAAAATTGCGCTGTCTCCACCTCGGTCGCAAAGACAGCGCCCTCGCCCCCGTGGTCGCGAAAGTCGCGTCATCTCCACTCTGACCGCGAAAGTCGCGCTGTCTCCACATAAGTGGGGACTGAGTTTTTTTGACGCAAAATTCTGGAAGTGGAAAATTTATTTTGGTCGCGAAAGTTTGGACATATCATGTGGATGGCGATATTTTGGTCGTACCGCATCCACCGCGGTTGCGAAGGTCGAGAGAAGTTGTTTCTTAGAAAAGCCATTTACGCCTTGGCCTGAAAAGTTGTGCCGTCTCCATCTTAGTCTGGAAAGTCGCGCTGTCTCCAACTTGGTCCCGAAAAGTGCACCATATCAACCTTGATCTCGACAGTCTCGCCGTCCCCACCTCAGTTGCGATAGCTGCGAGAGTTTTTTCTGGGTCGCGGCGTCTCCGCCTTGATCACGAAAAAGGCACCGTCTTGATCTTGATCTCGAAAATTGCGCTGTCTCCACCTCGGTCGCGAATGTCGCGGCTGAGTTTTTTGGCCGTTAAAGTCTGGAAGTGGCAAATATTGGTCGCGAAAGTCTGGACATGCAAAATTTGGATCACGATATTTCGGTAATGTCGTGCCCACTTCGGTTGTGAAGGCCGTGAGAAGTTGTTTCTAGGTAGCGCCATCTCCACCTGGGCCTGGAAAGTCGAGCCGTCTCCGCATTAGTCTGGAAAGTCGCGCTGTCTCCCCCCTGTTCGTCCCAAAAATTGCACCGTACCGACCTTAGTCTCGAAAGTCGCGCCGCCACCACCTCGGTCGCGAAAGTTACGTCGTGTCCACTTCGGTTGCAAGCGTCTGGGAATGGTAATTTTGGTCGCGCCTGCTAAGGTGTTGTCGCGCCGATGCTTTTGAGTCACTCTGCCGCCTCTACTTTTATCGAGAAAGCCGCGAGAATTTTTTCTGGGTCACGCCGTCTCCCCTTGGTCTGGAAAGTCGCGCCGTTTCCGCCTTGGTCGCAAAAGATGCGCCGTCTCGACCTTGGTCTCGCAATTTGCGCTATTTCCACGTCGGTCGCAAAAACAGCGTGCCGTCTCTTCCTTGGTCGCAAAAGTTGCGCCGTCCCTACCGTAATCGGGAAAGTCGCGCAGTCTCCACCTCGGTCGCAAAATTGCTGGCTGAGTTGTTTGGTTGCGAAAATCTGGAATTGGCAAATATTTGTCAGGAAAGTCTGGACATACCAAATGTGGATCGCGATATTTCGGTCGCGCCATCTTTGCTTCGGTCGCGAAAGTCGCTCGGGTCATCGTGTCGTTTTGACTACGAAAGTCTGGAAAAGCCAAATTTCGGCCGGGAAAGGCCGGACATGCCTAATTTCGGTCGCGAAAGTCTAGACGTGCCAAAAGTTTGTGTAGGAACCTGGACATGAGTTTGGAATTTGCACCCGGGTGTACAGGCTTTTTTTTCAAGTTTCCATATGATGGACCTGTTTCCTGTTTGGAAAATTTGTGATCGGTCTGTTTTTTTTTGCTTCAGACAAAGACTACTTTTTCACTTTACTTTGACTCTTGTTGTTAATTTGAGCTTGAATTCAAATGGATGTTAAGTGGAGGAGTGCTATTTAGTCTTATTATTGCATCACTAGACGCTAATTACATCATTTTGAACTTAAAGTAGTGTCTGGGTGCATTTTGGAGAAACCAAAAAACAATCGGTGAATTTTTCGAAGCACCTTTGAGGAAAACCGATATAACACAATTGGTTGCCTGATACAAACAGTTTTGTTATTTTTAAACTGATTTTTTGGATCAGCTTAATATTTACTGGATTTCCATGTGGCGCTCCCAAAAAACTGAAAAGACCCTGTTTTGGCCAAAATTTATGCGCCGCAGGCAAAATTCTTGGAAAAACAGGCCAAAATAAGCGATTTCAGGCACTTTTTGGAAAGTTTTTTACCAAAAAATCACCTTTTTTTTTGCGCGCGCTCTCCCTAAAAATTAGCATATCTTGGTTCCGAAGGCGCCTTGAGAACTATTTTAGGGTTCGTCAGCCAGAAATGGATATCTCAAAATAGTACAAAGGGGGGGGGGGCTTTGGGTTGGCAGGGGTCGAATCCTTGAAGGAGGGGGGTCTGGTACCCCCCCCCCCCCCCCTAAATCCGCCCATGCTTTTAATTAACTTTTTTTTTATCAATTAACTCGGTAGTTTTAGCGTAATTGTTCATTAACTAAGAAAAAAAAATGACCCATTTTTGGGGTAAAGTTTTGGTTTGTGAATTCTGTAGAATTTCTATGAAACTTCTGTTTTCTTCGCTTTTTGTCTAATTTTCATCCAGTTCGAGGAAAACGCGAATAAAATTTCCATTGTTTTCGTTTTGTTCGGTTAATTTAAATCAGCACTGTATTGCCTTTTAATTACTATTTAGTGAAATTTGTTACAGCAAAATTCATGCTGAATGTGAACTATGAAATCTTAATTCAGCCCAAATCAAAGAGTCGGACTTAAAAAAATCAAGAATTTATTTGTTTGGCTTTGGCAGGTTGAAATTTCCTCGGACAATCGCACTGTGGCATATGGGGAGTTCAGGAACAAAGTGTTCAGACTGTCACATGCCTTAGTGAGGAGGGGTTATGGCGAGGGAGATGTGGCTTGCATCCACTGCTGCAACATGCCAGAGTTCGTGATAGTGCTGCATGCCGCAGTGGCAGCTGGGATGGCAGTCACTCTTTGCAATTCATTGTACACTTCTTGTAAGTTAAACTGAATTGTTTGTATCAAAAAACCAAAAAAAAAATAAAATCTCCCCCGCCCCCCACAAAAAGTTATTCCGCCAGGCAAGTTTTCGATTCCACTCCCAAAATACTCAAAACAAAGATTTTTTTGACCCGCAAAGGACCAAACAAAAGCGCCTTTGGACTCAATGGATAATAAGTTTGAAAGATATCATTTGCAGAAGAAAAGCTCAATTTTTATGTCAAAGACTTCCAACAAGTGCTCAAAAATCTCATTGTTGGCCCGTTTCTTTGTAAACTTTGACTGTGGAAACTAAAGTTGTGCGAAGTTTGTTAAAACAACAAGAATTAAAGCTTAAAAATTTTCAAAAAAAATAAACAATTTGTGACAAATTGTTTTTTTTTAACTTTTTTTTAAATCAGTGGGTCCGACCATTCTGTATTACTTGCACAGCAATCGGCTATTAATTTTCTAATCATAAATTTATTATAACTGAATGAGAATATGATAGATGAGGTGGCCCACCAGCTGAAGGACTCCAACTCAGTTGTCATTTTCGCCCAAGCCGATCAGGCCATTGTTGAGAAGTGTGTGAAGGCATGCTACGACAACAACAACGCAGAAGGACCAGACACACCATCTCCAACTAGTGTCAAGGTAGGTGGTATTGGTATTAAGTAAACCAAGTAAACTAACCAAAACACTGAGTTATTACATAACAATTATTTATCTAATAGTTTGTAATGGCTACAAAAGTCTAACATATTTCATAATGTGATATTGCTATGCTATCAGTAGGTAAGAGCAAAAGAGAATAATTTAAAACATTTAATTCTGTCTTGTTGAATTGCTTAGTTTTGTTAGAGATCACGTTCATGTGTCTTCTATGATCGCAACCGTCCAAATGACTGATACGTTTGGCCTGAATGGATGGCCTTGAATAATACTAACAATACATAACAGAATATTAATAACACTTTATCCAAGGTTACTGTGGCAACAGTACTACACGGTACCACATTCCCCTGAGTACAACAAAATTTTATATAATACCTTATAAAATTTTATAAATAGTATATAAATCTCAGTTTACTAAATTGTTTTCATTTTAGCTTAGTTTTCCTTGCTTGTTTTCTTCATCACTTCCGCTTTGTTTCTTGCAGCGTTCCACGATCCCGACTCATCCAACGATGTAGCTCCGAATTTCCTTTTGAACAAATGCCTCTCTATCTAGTAAGTCAAACGTATTGTTCTCCAATGTTGTTTCTTTGTTATTGATGTTCAACTTTGCCAGCCTCAATCTGTAGGCCTCAAGTGCTGCTAAATTTAGCTCTGTTACATCGTCGTCACAACTAATCAACTTTACTGAGTGTGATACCGGGCTGCCGTATCTCTTTGGACCCTGGTTCTTTGTTTGTCGACTGCTTCGTCTGACTGTTGTTGTATTCTCTTCTTTGACCGACTCGTCCGCAAATACTGCCGGGCTACTGACAATTGGTTCCGCTTGTTGATTCAGTAGTTTTTCTGCTTCGTTTTGTACCCCTCGGGTCAAAACTTGGTTTGTGATTTCTTCCCATTCTTTTGTTGTCATATTGTTATTCTGGAATGTGTCCAGAATTTCCTTTTCACTAGTTTGCCGTGTGATCCTTTTACTCACTGGAGCTTCTTTCGGTGCAGACGACTCTATGTATACAGCTTCATTACTCCAATCCCGCTTCTTAGATTCTTTTGCTGTTTCAACAGTTTTTGTTGAACGTGGCTCTTGTGTCTTGGTTTTTCCAGATCTTGCACTTTCGACTAGTGGTCCTGCCCTATTTGGCTTAACTCTTTTTCCACCTAGATTTAGGCCCCCGCCCGTCTTTGTTTCTCTTGACGTTACTACGTTTGGCGAGTTTTGAAACTTGTCCATTAGTCCATTGTCTTCTATCTCCTGATCATTTGGACCCTGGTCTTTCGCATCATGTTCTTCAGCCGACTTACTGTCTACGTCTTCCTGATGTAATACTGTCTTCTGTTGTTTGCTCCTAGGTTCTTCCCCCGTTGGGCTCCTCTTTTTCTCCGAGCTCTGTGCTTTGGGCTGTGTATGCAGTTTTGATCTCGCTATGTCGCTCTTTCGATATACTGCACCAGCAGCCGTTTTGATTGTTGACGGTGTCTCTGCTACTATTTTGCCTTTCAGCGGTATTGTTAGGGCATTTCCACTCTTTCTTTGCTCATGTTTTCGGAGGAAGCTTCCTGACCAGCTATCATCCGCTGTAGTCTGTTTGTCTTCGATAAATCCTTTTTGCCATGAGTATAGGAGTTCCTTTCTCAGTTCGGGATTTATCGTGCTCGTTTCATCTACAATTCGACGTAGTTCGCTATCTGAGATATCCCGTCTGGTGACTTTCCATCTCGCATTGGCCTCCAGTAGCTGCTTTAGTTCCTTCGCCCTAGCTTGTTCTTTGGCCGCCGCAATGTTGCGTAGAAACAGTGGGCTGACGTCCCGGCTATTCTGTCCTTTTCGGATGATCTTTACATTTTCCCTGGATTGATCGATGCGTCTCTTCAACTGCGATGCTTTTAACGCCGATCTCTTCAAATTTTCTTTATCTAAACAATCAGATTCCTTCAGAAATTTATCCCTTACAATTTTAAACTCAGTTTTAGGTAATCGACCAAAGTGCGCTTCAAACGGGGACAACTTTTTAGTTTTCTGTTTGTTCCATCTTAGGTCCCTAATTATTGTGCTCAAGCACAATTTAATAGATTGTACTTTCTCTTCGAGTAGCATTACTCCCAATCTTCGTTTAATGGTTTGTATCGTTCGTTCGACTAATCCACATCCTCGATGATCACCGACTGGACAGAATTTTTGAATAATATGATTTTCAGTGCAAAATTTTTTCAGTGATTTTCCTTTAAACCCTGAAAACTGATCCGTTTTAATCGATTCTGGTATTCCATGTGTGTCAATGTAGGTACGTAGAGATTTTATTGTTGATTTTCCCCCTGCAGATTTCGTAACTTTGACTGACGGAAATTTTGAGTATCTATCAATAGCAACTAACAAATATATCTTCTTTCCCTTATGGTCTTCAAGTGGACCCGCATAGTCTAATTGTAACTCTTGCCCAGGCTGTGTCAACAGTGGAAGTGGTTTGGCCGAATTTTTTAGGATTAAATATTTAGTATTCTTACCATAACGAGTGCAACTTCTACACTCTTCGGCCATATTGACTATGTCTTTGTGCATGTGTGGCCACCATAGTAATTGGAAACCTCCAATATCGCTTCTTGGCCAGGATGTCCTTGATGAAGTCGCCGAAGCACCGCTTGTCTCAGCTTCTCAGGTACGGCTAGTTGATTGTCCACCAGTAGGCAGTCATCAACTACCGACATCTGGTGCCACAGAGAGTTGGTGTACGGACCCATTAGCTCGAATCCGTGTATATCGTTTCGTTCCACCACTCGCCTGAGCCGATCCATCCAAGTATCCTCTGATACTAGTTCCGCCAGTAGACTTTTGTCAAATAATTTTTCAAGTGACAGTGGGCTATTTGTTTCCTTTAACTGCTCCGACAGTTGGTAATCGCTTTTCCGCGATTTATGGCCACTTTTCGTCTTCTGCTGTGGTGTGACCATACAAGTCTCAGTTTCTGAACTGTAGTCCGGTTCATCAATGCTGTCCATCGTTAAGTCCACCTCAAGGATTTGACCAGTGTCAGTTTCATCTCCAGATTGGGTTTGTTCGATGATTTCGGGCTTTGCATCACCGAAATGGCTTCTAATTCCATTGGCCGGGGTTTCTCATTTTTTTCCGATCCTATTAGTTCCCAAAATGAGACTAACCTAGGTTGGACTGTTGTAGCAGTTGATGTTGACTGACCACTATTTCCCGTGTCTGTTCTGATTTGTCTGTTCAGCGTGTTCCAATGCGCTTGTGGTATTTGTTCAAAGTCCGAATTATCTGATTCTGATTTGTTTGGGGTCCTTTGTATAATTCTGGTTCTTTGGAACGTCGTCTCTGTTATTTCATCCCTTAGTGTGTCTGTGTTATTCCGATCCTGAATTCTGACCATCTTTTTTTCTTTTCCTCTTTTAGCTGTTTCGCCTGACTGCATATTTTCTGGTTCGTGATTTGATAATTTTCCGATTTCTTTAACTGATTCGACCGACTGTATTTGCTGACGATTTTGAGATAAACTGATTTTTGAGTTTTCAAACTTTTCTCGTTGAAACGAACGTGAATCTTCATTTTTTTTCGTTCCGGGCGTGCTTTGTCCGTTTTGGACCGTTTTGGTTGCCATAGCAACGGGTGGATGACGTGTTCTGATTTGATACATTTTGATCAATTCTAGAATATTCTAGAACGTTTTCGTTCCGGTCGAGCCTATCGTGATCGCTCAGTCGACTGTTCAAACAGTCGAGAGCTTTATGAAAACTTTTAATCGATGTGACTACAAATTTTTCATCCAATACTGACTCCGGCCATGGTTCACCTTTGGGGTTTCTAGATACGTAATCTACTATACCCATATCTTTGCCTGATGAATAACTTTAAATTGATAGGGTAGTAATCTGTCTACCCATTTAGTCAACCTAGATTGGTAGGTTTTGTTTGACTTATGTTCATCCAAGGCAGAAACTAGTGCTTTATGGTCATTGGCTATCACGAATTCTTTTCCTAACAAATAATGTTTAAATTGGTCAACAGACCATACTACTGCTAGCAGTTCTAGTTCATTTGTGGAGTATTTTTTTTCTTGTGTGTTTAAATATCTGGAAGCGAATGCAATCGGTATCCACTCCCCCTCCCCGTTTTGTTGTTGCAAAGATGCCCCCAGTCCACTATGGCTGGCGTCACATTTTACCCTAGTAAGTAGCTTAGGGTCGTAATAATGAATTTTTTTATAATCGCAACCGCTGCTTTTATCGATTCGAATATCTCCGAATGTTCTTCTTTCCATTCGAATTTTTTTACTTGAATTTTCACACTTTTGAGTTTTTTCTTTTCATTTTCTTCTCGCAGCAGAGGTCTCAACTTTTCAGTTAAAGTAGCTGCGTTTGGAATGAATTTGGCCAGAAGATTTATGCTACCCAGAAATGATCTGAGTTGTTTCAGTGAAGTTGGCGGACTAAGCTTCAAAATCGCTTTTGTTATCTTTGGAGAAATACCCTCCAACGATAACTTATGTCCCAACCAATTCACCTCCTGTTGAAAGAATTCACATTTCGACAGTTTTAGTGCTAAATTTTCTTTTTCTAGCTTTTCCAGCACATTCAAGATCAATTTTTCATGTTGTTGTTCACTTCCTTTAGACACAATGAGTATGTCGTCAAGAAAACAGAATGTATTTTCCGCATGGTTCAATGTTCTGTCCATAGCTTTTTGAAACTCAGCTGGCATATCTGCCAGACCGTAAAATCCGGTCAAAAATCTGTATGTTCCAGTAGCTTGCCCACCTATGATGTTAAAATTGCATTGTTTAGCTGTCTCTGCAGTTAGTTTAAATTGATTGTAGGCATACTTCAAATCTAATACTGAGAAATACAGTGTACCGCTTTCATTTGCTGTTATTATTTGGCTGACCCCATCCAATAATTCATCCACATTCGGCATTTGATATTTATTTTTGAACAATTGTCTATTGATGGGTTTGGCATCTAAAGCCAATTTTATGGAATCATCTTTTTTTACTGTTATTACAATAGGTGCTATAAAACAATCACTAGTACATTTGTCTAGACGTTTTATATGCCCCTCTTTTAACAGTTTTTCCATTTCCTCATGCACTTTCCCTTGTATGTGTATTGGGATGCGTCTCCCTTTTTTCTTGTAATGGACAAAGTGGGTATTTGAACTTTGTGCTGTCAACGCGATTTTTTGAACACCCTTGAGGATCAAAAAGGTTTTTAAATTTACTATAGAATTTGTTTTTCCAACCTTCTGACTGTTCGCACAGTAACACGTCAAACCTCGTCTTTTCTTTCGGTGCCAACTTCTGTGTTGTGTGTATCCCGACTTTGCTCTGTAAATCCAGCTCCAAAATACATCTCGTGCGTCGTTCTGTGATTAAGAACGATGCTCCCACCACCTCCCACCCTGCTGAACGGATGGTCGTGGTAATTGCACCCAATATATTAATCGGCTGTTTGTTATAGTCTACAAATTTTGTAGTCAAGTTGAAATTTTCCCGTGGAATGAACGTCGTATTTTTTGAAGACTCCAGAATTTGCTTTGCAGTAGCCCAGTTCAAAAATGATACAGGACTGCCCGTATCAATAGTCATGTTTATGATATGATGATCTATTCTCACCAAAGCTTTTATTGACCTTATTTGTTTCGATCGGGTATTTCTGCGAATATCAACCTTCTGTATGTCCTTGCTACTTTTCTTGATATCTCGGTTTCTATTTGATTGCTGATTTATATACTCATCTATTTCTTCCATCGAAGACAATTCTAATTCAATAGCCATAATTTCGAACTCCTCACACGAGTCAAATGACTGAATTAAATTGCACTCTTCATCTGAGCTGGATCTTTTTTCCGCAATCTCATTTACTTGCTGTGACTTACACATTTTTGCAAAGTGATTTGGTTTAGAACAATTTTTACATGTTTTGCCCATGGCCGGACATTTCTTCAATTGTCCTTCCCCAAATGGTCGACCACATCGAGTACACGTTTTCGTGTCTGTAAAATTTTTCCCTTCTTTTCTGTCTGATGATTTCTTCTTGTACATGTTGTTCTGCTGTCTCCTTCCGTAAGCATTTTTATTTCCAATACTCATAATTGGTTCTTGCTTTATCTTCATTGTTCCATTTACCTGAGCTGTACTTGCAGTCGTTGCATTAGTTTTCTGAAATGCCTGAGTTGTCTGTTTACTTTGTTCAAATTTCAACGCCCTTTTCAATACTTCCTCTGGTGAAAATGTTTCAAAGGTTAGTGTATCTTGTAATACCACATTTTTTATCTTCGATATGAATAGGTCACGCACTAGTTCGTCCTCCAGTGTCCCTAATTGTGCTCTGGCTGCTTGAGCAGTTAATGCGGCATGAAATGCCTCGAGTGATTCCCCTGTTTCCTGTGAACGATTAAACAGCTTGTAGCGTTCATACGTAACACTCTGTGATTTATCAAATGAAGTCTTAGCCAACGCTACCATCTGCCTGAATTCTAACTTTGAAACTTCTACATGCGGGTTCTTTTGAACAAATTTCTTCTTTCCTACTGTCCCCAACGCCAGAAACAATCTAGAGGCTACTCTTTTCTGTACTTCGTTGTAATATACGTTGTGTCCAACCTTTGGTCCTCTAGTTTTTCTTTCTTCATTTTCCAAGAGAATCTTATCCCGGGCTAGTTGGTCTTGAGCTTCCCTTTCTGTAATCGCCAGAGCGTTTTCATGTTCTCGTGGAGTCTCTGGTCTTGGTAACGGTTCCAATAAAACTTCTTTCGGTTCTTCTAATAATAGTTCCGGATTCACGCTCTCCTTTACTGTAACTGCCAACAGAAATTGGTCTAGCCATATTTTGAAATTCCACGGAGGGTCGGAATTCGCGGTTGTCCAAAATACAGGGATCCCCATATCTGTTCTATTGTCCTGGGACAGAAATCCTGCTGGCTGCGCCATGTGATATTGCTATGCTATGAGTAGGTAAGAGCAAAAGAGAATAATTTAAAACATTTAATTCTGTCTTGTTGAATTGCTTAGTTTTGTTAGAGATCACGTTCATGTGTCTTCTATGATCGCAACCGTCCAAATGACTGTTACGTTTGGCCTGAATGGATGGCCTTGAATAATACTAACAATACATAACAGAATATTAATAACACTTTATCCAAGGTTACTATGGCAACAGTACTACACGGTACCACACATAACTAATGTGATTTTTGGCTGGTTCAGAAACTTGATTTTTTGATTGGTCTGTATTTTCAGTTTGTTCATTAACAGTCGCAAAGGTCACATTTCTGTTTGATGAACAAGTTCAACGCTATAATTTTCTGAAATTGGATGGGCATATTTTTGTACTTGTTAATAAATCTGATAAAAATGCTAGCCACTTCCTCCTTGCAACCAAAACAGCAGTTAATTATGTACCCAAAAAAATTTGAGAAAATGAAAACTCTCCACTTTTTTAAGCTTGTTCAAACTGTCGAGGATGTCGCGCATTTAAAGTTCGAGACAGTAGTTTGGCTGGGCAATCAATTTTATATTTGAATTCAGCTCACAAAACTATGTTTTTTATTGTTTTCAAAGCAATATATTTTCCTAGGAAATTATCACTCTATCTGCTGAGAAAACCGAAATCTCAGCAGATAGCAGAGGACTCAAAGTGATGCATTATCTTGGACTTTTGACCCCTGACACTGCAGAGTTCAACAAGAAGTTGCCTTCAGTCAAGATCGACTGGAAAACAGCCCGCGCTTTGATTCCATATTCCAGCGGAACAACTGGGCTTTCAAAAGGCGTGGCATTGACTAATTACAACGTGTACTACCAAATCCATCAAATAATGTAAGTCATGTAAGTTTCGTATTTAAGTAACCATCAGTTACGTAAGTTTTGGGTGATATATTGGCATAGATGGTTCATTTCAGTAAAGCAAATAAAAAAGACAGCTCTCTGCTGGATTCGAACCGAACCTGTTTTAGTCCGCGGCAGCAGTCAACTAATCACTATAGTAACCAATCCAGTGAACAACGCACGCAACATACTGATTTAAACAGAATTTAGAATTGGTCGCATTGTTTAATTTCTTTCCCAGTCGCCTCCAAAACCGCGCCGATAACCACCAGGTGCTTCCATAAACAGCTCGTATCACTGTGCTGGCAAACACGCAACACGTATCAGTCCCACAGCAATAAAGTTGTACTCAAATTGTAGTAAATTGTGTCGAACAGAACATTGTGTTAGTGCACGCGACCGGCGTCGGGCTACACCCTTGTCATGAGGCGACCTTCGGTACCTCATTATATTCTATCTACTTATAGTGCAGTAAATTGATTCAAGGACAAATCTCACCAGCTAAATCGTTTGTCACTTGAGAATCTGAGGTGGTCACTTGCGAAAGCCTTCAGTGTTAAATCTAGTCGTCAAAAACATTAAACATTAAAACAATACTTCAATTCTGGATTCGATAATCATTTATTCAGTACTCTATTCTATCTATTTATATATCATATCTAATTCAATATTCGAATTTTACAATACCGTTTTCCCTACTCAAACTGAGGGAAATCTCATGGCGCAGCCAGCAGTTCCTGTGAATGAAGACAGGACTGACCTACTCGGAATACCACCTTTTTGGGCGAGAACATCGGTTAACCCACCTTTCATTTGGGAGACTTGGGTAGGACAATTTTTTTTGGCCGTGAGTCTCAAAGACAACATTTCACCGGGGGAGTTACTAGTTGCCCCAGCAGAGTTAGTGGATGAACCCTACCCAAAGCCCGAAGCACCGAGTGGTGAAGAAAATGCAGCAGATGTGGCCAATAGGAACATCCGAATTGCAGCAGCTAATCGAAGAATCGATGAGTACAATCAAGAGAGGAGAAGGAAAGGACCTCGAATTGGACATAACTGGTGTTACCATGAGGCAGAGGCACGTTTGAAATCGCGACTTTTCTTCGCATTGGGAAATGAAGGGAAAAAACGATTCTTGGATTCTTACCCTCATTTGGACCTCAATACTAGTTCTTTCATTGATTTTCACAAGTGTTGTGAGGATGTTTTCAAGGCAGAGCGGGACTACACAGTCGAAAGGATTAAGCTGTACAATACAATTTTCATGCAGGATAATGACTCATTCTAATCATTTTACGCCCGTCTTAGCGCTCAAACTGCGTTGTGTAATTGGCCGATTGATCAGGAAAGAGCAACATTGAAAGACTTGTTTATTGGTCGCATTCGTGATGTGGAAGTTCAGAGGCAATTAATCAGAGCAAAAGCCAACCTTGATGATACTCTACAACTGGCCTTGGAGAATGAGAAAGGGGCCAAAACATCAGAACAATTCCAGAAATTGCTCCCCTATAACAACGCTACTTCTAATACTACAAACTCTATTCGAGTCAAGCAGGAACCAACTTCGTCAGGACAACAATTTAAGAGCTAAGGAAATAGTAGCTGGGGAGGAGGTGTAAACCGTCCTAACCAACGACAAAATAAAAAAAAACATGTTATTTTTATGGCAACCCGTTTTCTTTGGAGAATCGCCGGTCGTGCCCGGCTAGAGAAGCTACTTGAAATGCCTGCAAAAAAGGGTCATTTTGCTAAGGTGTGTAACACTACGAGACGACGAGTGAACATGGTACAAAATGAAGAGACGGCTACAGACCAAGAGTGTAACGTAATTGACGTCAATGGTTTCCGCGAGCCGGAATATGGGGTCATGGCGATAGACGTTGTGCAGATTAACAATGTGGAACTTCTAAAGACAGCGGGAGGACAACCAAGGAGCCTCAGTATACAATTACGTTCCGGTAACTCTTTCTTTTATTCTACGGTGGACACTGGCAGTCCCGTATCTTTCTTCAACAAGAAAACGGCGGATATACTCATGAAACGGATTCCCAACGTTAAATTTAAGGACATCGCGAGACACCCTCTAGACGTTACTTATGTTGACTATAACAAGAAACCAATTAAACTGTTTGGTTCTCTGGAAATCCCCATTACATCGAAAGGATGGAAAATCGAGAATGCGTGTTCTTGGTTTCCGAAAACCGTACCCGAAATTTACTCGGGTTGAACCTTCATGAGAAATTAGGAATTGAAGCGGTGCAACGCAGACCTGCAGAAGTTAGCTACGCGGAGGAAGACCAGGAATATGGATCGACCTCAAAGTTCTGGAGGGATCACTTTGTCAAAAGGTATCCTAATGTATTCAGCAGGCTGGGGAGGTCGAAAAACCATAAAGTATTCACTAATTTTAGAGACCCGTTGGTGCCCAGACAAGTTAAAGGCCAAAAAGTTCCTATACATTTACAAGATCGGGTCACGGCTGAGATTAAAAAGTTAATTAAAAACAAGCACATTGAAAAGTTAGAAAAGTGTACTACGGATCACTTCATCGCACCCATAGTCTTAACTGCAAAGAAAGACGGGTCTATAAAACTCTCGTTGAATGCTAAACCTATGAATGCCCAAATCTGGCAAAACAAATATCAAATGCCTAATATGCATAAATTGATTGACTCGGTGGCTCAAATCATAACCAGAGACACACCTGGTGAGGTGTGGTTTACTTCTCTGGACCTTAAATACGCTTTCAGTCAATTACCTTTATCGGAACTAACCAGTAGTCATTGTAACTTTAGTATTTTGTGCGGAGAGGCAACTGGCGCATATCGGTTCAAGACTGGTTTCTACGGACTGACGGACATGCCTACGGAATTTCAAAAAGCCATGGACTGTACATTACAAGGATTGGAGGGTGTCATATGTTACCTTGATGATATACTGGTTGTCACTAAAGGAAGAGTTGAAGATCATAACGAACTAGTCGAAAGAGTGATGAGTCGATTGGAGGAAGAAGGATGGGCGTTGAAACTTAGTAAATGTGAGTTTTCAGTTAACAAGTTAGTCTGGTTAGGGTATGAAATCGATGAAAACGGTTACGCTCCAAAATTCTCAAAAATAGAGGCAATCAAATCCCTGTTGCCACCCAAAACTCTTAAACAGTTAAGATCGTTTATGGGTACTCTCAATCATCTTCAACGTTTCATCCCGGATTTGCACAAATATACGGTCGCATTCAGAGCTTCGTTAAAAGCGGAGAATAAGAAATCCTTTTTGTGGGGGGAAGAGCAAACTAGTGCGTTTCAGAAGATCTTAAACCTCATCGCAAACATCCCTAATTTGTTTCACTACGATGCTTCAAAAGCTTCGCGTGTTAAATGTGATGCAAGTCATAGCGGGCTGGGGACTTGCTTGGAACAAGAAGTAGAGCCAAATGTTTGGGCCCCGATTGCGTTCGCCTCTAGGTTTCTAAACTCCACGGAAATCAAGTATAGTACCAATGAGTTAGAACTTTTGGCTATTGTATGGTCGTGCGAACATTTCCGTACATATTTACTTGGTAAACGTTTTGTAATTCTAACCGACCATAAGGCCATCATTTCCGCCCTCAACAAAACGTATGGAAAAAAGTCTTATCAGTCACGACTCTCTCGCTGGGCGGACCGCCTCATTCCGTTCGACTATCAAATCGAACATATACCCGGTTCCTCCCTAGGTATCGTCGACTATATGTCTAGATACCCGACTTTCGAAGCACCACTGCCATCATCGCATGACGAATTATTTGTCATTAAATCTATTCAAGCTTTTCACAATGCTTTAAATTTGATTGGTGCTCAATCCAAACCTCAAGTAGTGCAGGTGGGGCAAATTTCAAATTATAACCAGTTTCCACCAATCAGATCTTTTGGTGAAATTAGAGGCGAAATTAGCTACCTCTTAACTAATACGACAAACCAATCAACGTTAGATTCATCTGACCAATCACATTGTTGCAAACAGTTCAGTTCGTCGCCTCTAGAGGGCGTCGTGAATAGTACTCAATCTCTTAACCAATCTCAAAAGGTTATGCTAATTCATTGTTTTAATTCTTCGCCACTTGAGGGCGTTCGTTCATGCTCTCAGTCAACTAGCCAATCATATGCTCGTATGCAAAATCGTGAGTATATATCACTGCCGCGAGAGGTCGACTTTTCATGCTCTAGTACTCTCGACCAATCACAGCACAGTATGCAAATGCGATACGCTAAACCGGAAGTTTTTGCTCAAACTCATTGTCTCCGACCTTACAACTTAGAAATCAGTAACGATATGGATACTTCAAATAATCTTGCTCAAAATACTACTCTTAACTCTACTCTCAATAACTCAAATACTTCTACTAATACTACTGACTTTGCAAATAATACGATCGAACAAACAAATCTTCTCATTTTTGTTGAAAATTTTTCTACAAGTTCCCCTAATTTTTGCACTTCCAGTCAACTAAGACCCAGACTATCTACAGTTCGCCCTATGGATCGCCCGAGCCGTATTAATCAAATACGTACCCGAAACATTGCCAGGCAGAGACATTCTCGAGAACGTTTCGTGGTTACTCGAGGACAAACGACGCAAAAGGCCCTCCCTCACTTCCTTGATAAGTGCCGGAGGCAGCGGCTCACGAGACAGACCAGACGAGGAGAGACACTTCGAATGGGGGTTAATGCCATCAATAACCACAAACCGCTGGTCACACAGGACAAAAAGAAGGTGGTCGGATTGCCGGGACTGTTCGACGTGGATTTGTTGGGAGAGCTGACAGGGGAAGACCCGTTCCTCGGACCGATGAGAACTGCGATCGTCAATAAGGATGTGCAATCCTTTAACTGGGGGCGTACATGGCCCAATTCTGGACGAAAGCGGCGGTGGTGAACAATTGTGTCCTGATAGACAACAAACTAGCCATACCCGAACAGTTACGAAGTGCTATCCTGATTCGACTTCATCGCTCGCACCCAGGCCAAGCGGCCATGATGGACGCCTCGGAGTATATTTGGTGGCCATTTCTTAACCGCCAAATTGTCAATGTCTGCGAAAAATGCCCGGAGTGTACCCTATTTGGTAAGAACATCAAAACTTCTGCGACTTATAACTCAGCTAAGCCGTTACCAACGTTGTCAGCTCCAAATCAAGAATTGCAACTTGATTTCGCGGGTCCGTTAATAGATGATAAGAAGGGGAAAATCTACATTTTAGTCCAAATAGATCGTTTTTCTAAGTTCCCCTCGGTGATGTTAACTAAATCAACCAGTTCGAAAAAAATAGTCAAATTTTTGCGATCATATATTCGTAACCATGGCATACCAGAAAGCATTAGAACAGATCACGGATCTGGATTTCACTCTGACGTCGTTAAAGAATTTTGCAAAATGAGAGGCCTTAAACACATCCTCACAGCGGTGGGGGATCATCGGAGTTGTGGGCTGGTGGAGAGATCGATCCAGACCATAAAACGGAAGTTAGGAACCGAAAAATTACATCCTAATTTTAAAAATCTGAAGTCAACTTTACAACAAATTATCGACGATATTCGGAAAACTAAGCATTCTACGTTAAAAGTATCTCCGTTTGAGCTACACTTTGGGAGGAAGCCCAATACTGAGTTTTCATTAGCACGTGATAATGTTGTTCATTCTCCTACTTCAGCGCAAGGACTAGAAAGGAACCTCCTAACCCCGGAGCAACGATCAAGCCAGGATTACAGCCGCGATAGGGCTAAAGTTGTACCCAGAGGATCGTCACACAGCCCAGAAATCCCCTATAAATTCAAGCCACTCTTTGGTGTGGGCGAGCGTATAGCGGATAGTCAACCGTATAAAGCCTTGGAGAATCTTGCAAAGGCAGCTAACACCTGGAAGCAGTGGAAACGGAATGTGCCTCCACAACTAGGACAAGATCTTCTCCGTGAATTGGCGGCTCGGAATAGCGACCTCGCAAACTCGCTGAAATCAGGTATAACAAAGGGGACCCTACGCTTTTACGATAACGCCCGCGATACGTCAGCACCAGCACTCTCGCATTCACAGAGAATGAACGTGTCGTCTTCTTCGAGGCCCAAAGGACTCTCCAAAACACGTAAATTAGAAAAATTAGTTTTACAAGATCCTCTTAGAGTCAAAATTTCTCGAAAAGTTCTTGATCGAAAATCGGGAAAGCCTCTGTTCAAATTAGCAAAAATCAAGATTACTCGTGTCACGGATCATACTTACATTACCGACAAAGGGAAAGTCTACCGAAAAAATCATCTAAGCCTAAGACATAATTTTAACCACCCTAAGTTTTCAGCTACGCCAGGCACATTGGGTGAACGCTTGCAGCGACGAATTGCTCCTCGGCCCCAGTCTCAACCATCTACTACTCCAGCTACATGGCAGACAGATGTATCTTTAAAGGGCAAGGTGATCGACTTAACAGTAGAGTCATCAAGCGAGGATTCATTGATCACTGGACCTCAGCTAGAATTGGTGGAGGCACCGGTTACAACACCTCAAGGATTGGCTCCCGTGATCGATACATCAGAAGCTCCGATCATCGACTCTCCATCTAATCCCGCCTTGATATCTCCTACAGGGGCGTTAGCAACACCCCAAGACCAGCCAGAGACTTCTTGCACAGCAGCAAAGGACACAGCGGCTACTGGCCATTTGGAGGTCGACAATCCTACCTCCCAATCTTCGAGTGAGTTTAATAGGTCATCTAATCGGTCCAAGAAACCGACGAGGTTTTATGGAAATCCTCTTCGCCATTCAGTTAAGAGTGTAACTGAATCGAACTCTGCAGAGCCTTCATCACTACAAACAAACACCGTTCAAGTCATCACTACGCCGTTCACCCCGATTGTTCGAAAGGTGCCGTTTCCCAGAACTAAGGAGCAAACTACTCCGTATAAGAAGACTAGAATCGAAGAGCATGACAAAACTTCTTGAACTTTGAAACTTTATAAAATTTTGCTATATTGGCTTGTTGTTTTGGTTATCACCGATCATATATTGTGCTTAATTCTTTCTCCCCATTCTGCTTGATTCATTCCAAAATTTATACTGAGATAAATTTTTTCTAGAGGGGGAAGTGTCATGAGGCGACCTTCGGTACCTCATTATATTCTATCTACTTATAGTGCAGTAAATTGATTCAAGGACAAATCTCACCAGCTAAATCGTTTGTCACTTGAGAATCTGAGGTGGTCACTTGCGAAAGCCTTAAGTGTTAAATCTAGTCGTCAAAAACATTAAACATTAAAACAATACTTCAATTCTGGATTCGATAATCATTTATTCAGTACTCTATTCTATCTATTTATATATCATATCTAATTCAATATTCGAATTTTACAATACCGTTTTCCCTACTCAAACTGAGGGAAATCTCAACCCTGTTCGAATCCCGAAACGTCAAATCAGTCACCGTCGAATGTAACACCTAACCCGGGTTCACAAAAATGCTTGCCACACAATTTCATGCAACTCCCTAAAAAATCAACAGCATGAAAATGGCATGAACTTTATTCCATACTATGGAATTGTATGACAAAAATGTTCCATAAATTAATTTAATGGGCAAGTACTTTAAACTTTTCGATCGCCTTGACATTCGGAGTTAATGTTCCAGCCAACCCAATAAAAATATTTTCCAGTCATTTTTGATTATCTTAAAGGACTGGAAAAATGTGGTATCAAAGTTAAGCCCTATGAGTCATAGATGATTCGAAAAAACATTGTCTGCAAAATTGGTCGGACAATTTTTACGCTATTCTAGGTACAATGAATTTGCATTCTTGAACTCCATTGGCTATTTTCAACCCCCCAGATTTTTCAAAAAAAACAATCAAAAATATATATTTTTTACTTTTGAACTCAGGGAGTCCATATTAGGGGTATAAAAATGCTTGGTAAAACAGGTCTTTCGATCGCCGAAATTTGAGTGAATAAAAAACCACAGAAAGTCAGAACATAAACTCGGAAATAACGGACCAGTTTGATCAACACTAAACATTTGACCTATCAAGAAAACTGATCTGTGAGTAGCATCAAGATAGTTCAACAGAGCAAAGAAAACTATTCATGCAAATAAATCTGATATTAAAAATGGCCGGAGAACTGGCTCGGCTGTAGAAAATTTGCAGAAAAAAGGATGGGATTTTTTTTCAACAGTTCTTAAGTTTATCAACTTTTCTCACGATAATTTTTTTGTGGAATAAAATTTTTTGAAAATATAATGGCGAAATATCCCGTAGGGGTTTTTTCGCCAATTTAACTGCGTCAAAAACAGCTAGTATGTTTGTCATTGGTGGCATAAAACCTCAACCGAATAACTTGCTTTGGATACCAAGAATAATTCCAAAAAATTGTCTCAGTGTCGAGAAAAAGTGGTCTGAATTTGTGCCAGAAACTAATACATAGCTTTCAAGTTTCTGCCTTTTTTCGTGGTTTTGCCTTGAGTTCCGTTTCATGATTGTGATTCCTCCGCGACCAAAAATTGTATTTTTAGACTGTCCGCGATTATGAAACTCTGTCCAAACTCTTTTGTTTGTTGAATGACATTTGCCGCGACTTCGAAAAACTGAAAATTAGTCGCGGACTTCGACCCGGTGGTAACGTTCACATATTTCGATAATATATGAAGTTGGAGACTTCTCGTGCTTCATTTATGTTTCTGATAGTTTCTGTGTTTGCTAACAAAGTTACCTTGTTTATTTAGTCATAGGTAAAAACTCGTTGCGAAAAAAAAACATCAAAAACCTAGAGAGTAAGTGTATTTTGAGATGTGCCAGAGAATGATACCAAGCTCTCAATCAGGAATATGATGAAACCGTTTTTTTAAATGTTTTGTTTTCCATTGCCGTGGTGTATATTACGATCCAGGATGAAAGAGTCAAGATTGCCTTTTAATGCAAACATGTAAAATGGAACAAGCTTTCAGGCTTTTCTGTTCAGGAAGTTAATTCACTTGGAGCCCAGCTGCGACGTTTTCCTTCCCATCCCCCCTCTCTACCATATCTACGGGACAGTGATGGCAGGACTAACATCTCCCTTCAGAGGAATCACTACCCTGATGCAGCAGAGATTCGACTTCCCAGCTGTGCTCAAAGGAATTCAGGTAGGCGTTACTCAGAAGCGAAAGAATTAGACCTTATTTGCTTTAAATCAACCAAATTAGATACAAAAGTGACCAATTTTTGAGATCATTCTTTCCGGTGTTATTCAATTCTTGAAACTGAATTACGATTGCGAAAGATAACTCGCGGGCTTTCGATGCTTATGACTAGAGGGATCCCCCCTAACCAACAAAAAGAGGAATTCTTCATGCAAGAAGAACCGATTTCCCAAAATCATTTCAATCTTTTCGAAAACTCATCATTTGAAAACAATGTGATAATCTGAAAAATTGAGCAGAAAAGTTAATCATTTTTCGAGAGCTCAAAGGAAGTTGATTGGTTGTTCTCTGGGCCCTAGCCCCCCAATAAATGAGGCTTGTCTCCGATAAGTTTAAGCATCATGAGTTTAGGATTACAAAGTGACGAAGCTAGCCCTAGTGCCTCCCATCATGCTGGCCCTAGCCAAACATCCAATGGTGGATAAATTCGACCTGTCTTCTGTCAACGAGATCTTGTCTGGTGCAGCCCCCCAGCCGGCTGAACAGATTCAAATTGCGTGTGAAAGAATTAACCCCAATGAAAAAATAGTCTTTACACAAGGTAATTTTCAAGCATCGTTATATTTGAATGCAAGTCGATAGGTCGCTGGTTCAAAACCCTGCGTGTGCTCCGTGCTGGGTTATTTTCGAGGGTGAGAAAAAAAAATACCGTATTGGCATAATTTTGGAGAAATTTACAAAAGTAAACATTCAGAATTCTCTAAAAACACAACTTCCATAACTCCAGAACAAGATATGTCCGCGCTGAACATCAACTCATAAAAATTTTACGGTCAGAAAAATACGCTGCGTAATGTTTTAAACTAACTACAGAAGTTCTATGTAGATCATTTTTCATTGATCAATGGAACAAACTCAAAGTTTGATGGGGGTAGGGGTTAGCTAAAAACAAAACTTGATTTCATCTTCAGGGTATGGGATGACGGAGAGTGGTGGGGTGTCTTCAGGCCTTCCCCCAGATGCACCCTACGAGTGCATTCAGAAAGGAAGTGTCGGCATACCAGTTCCAGGCTGCGAAATCAAGGTCAGAGGAGACGCGTAACTAACTGCAATAGTTGTATATGTCTAACTGCTGAGTAGGTTCTTAACTAGACGATAAAAAGTTGTTTTGATTTTTTATCAATATGTTTTGTGAAAAAGTTGGGTCCAAAATTTAGTGTAAACTAGAAAAATAGGTTTCATATTTATAATATTTGTCCTAAAAGTATAACCATAAATAAAGGATAGCCGGCCATTTATAAATAAGTAACTCTGATTGAGAAAAAGAATTGAACATAAATATGAAATAACACCAACTGAACAATATCGCTCAGCCATATGGTCTTTGTTTTCAGTCAAGGCCATCCATCTGGTCTGTGACTAGCTATCTATAATTTGTATTTAAATATAAATACTTAAACGTGGTTCGTGCCAATCCCGCCGGATGACAATCCCCCTCGTGAAATAAAACAGAGTTTTACCGTCCCAGTGGTACCAATTGTGAGTTTTATAGTCCCTGTGGGACTGGAGTTTTATAGTCCTTGTGGGACTTGATTGCTCCACCTCAATTTTGTTTTGTGGCAGTTTCCAGTGAGTTATTCTTGCCTCCGCGAGTGTTGCTGTTGTTATCGGCGGCGCTGTTTGGGTTTCGTCCTCTTCATGATATTTCTCATGCTCCTCTTGGGGTTCGTCTCCTCTTTCGGTATGTTGTCTTCGGTTAATTCTCATGCTCCTCTTGGGGTTCGTCTCCTCTTTCGGTATGTTGTCTCCTCTTTCGGTAAGTTTTCAATCGGCTTTCCGACGCTGAGACCAAATCTATTTTTTTATTGATTGTTTCAAGGAATTTTATGCATGCGACGAACTCCCGGGAATCTCATTCAAAACCCATTTCCCGTGGTTTGTTTTGTGCCCGTGTTCTATTGCTCTGGGGGCATAAATGAGAAACTTCAAGGCGAGTCGATGGTATTGATTGGGATCGGGTGTCCCCATGCTGATAAAGGTGTGGCCCGTCGGTTCTGTGTGGATTTTAGTGTCGGTTTTGCGCTTAGCGCAGGTTGCGGTGGCGGTGTTGTCTTTGTGTCCTGCCGTTTTTGAGGAGTGTGCCGTGTTTTCCAAGGCGATGGATGACCATCCGTCGCTTGACGAGGCCTCTGTTTCAGTTTCTTTTTTGTCCGCGTTATAGCGTCACTCCTCTGGCTTGTCTGGGTTTGGGTTTTCTGCCCGTCCTTTTTCCCGTTTGTGGCTTTGCCGTTCGCTTTTTCACGGCGTCTTTTGCGTCTTTCTTGATATGTTGTTCTTTCCGAGACCTCTTAATTGGTAGACCTGTCTTCTCATCCTCCTGCAACATTTCGTGTTGAGGTGCATTTGGTTGTTCGATGTATAAAAACGTAAGCATGGCCCTGTTCTCCTAGCTGCTTTATATGCCACATAATCACTTAGCCGTCAAAGTCTGCATGGTCCGTATATTTTTGGATTTGGTACAAATGCGAAGCCACTATTTCTTAGTCGGCGAGGTTGTTTTCCCTTAGTTTGTACCCAGGACGTGTGCGGTGTGTAAGTTCAAATCCGACCATTTTTTGTTTTGTTTTTTTTTGTTCAAATGTTTTAAACTCTTTAACTCTGGTTGCGATCCGGACTATTTTCCGAGCTACTATATGTAGGTGTTTTCTAATGTTTGTGTCCGCTTGTTTTTGTGTTCCCGTATATCTTAGATTTAACTCTTCCTTTTCCTTACCTTGCGAATATTTTGTTCCCACACCTGTGTTACTTTTCGTAGAATATTCTCCGTCCTTCAGGGATGTTTCTTATGGTTCTGGCGAATTCTCGAACGGTCGTCGTGTCATCTTTACATCACTTTCAGACCAACATTGGAGGTCGTGCATGATTTCTGTTTAGAGTGGTGGATACATCAAGTTTTTTTGATCTAAACAAGCGTGTTTTGCATTTGCACAGTTTAGCTTACTCGGTGAGCTAGTTGTGGCTATGCTGGATAAGGATGTTTTGGGCTTTCGACGCATGTGGGCTTCGAAAGGAGAAATTTTTGTTGTTTTTGTGGTGTTATTCCAAATGTTCTTGTGATTTCGGCTACGTCCGAGGTTAGCTTATTTGGGGTGTTGTTCCTGTCTACTCGCATAACCCTCAACCTGCGTTCTAGTGGTTGGATCGAATGTTCGACAACCACTATGGATCTGTGGTCACTTACTGGTGCGAAAAGGACTTTAATGATGTTGGATTTTCAAGAAAAGTTTGAACTTTTCGGCTCTAAGCGTTTGTGCTTGATCACTCCTAAAACTACCGGGTACCCTATTGTTTGAGATATGCCTTTGCATAAAATTTATTGCAAAATCCGCCTTTGTATTTGAAACCACCTTTGCTCTAGGGAGTTTTGACCATTCGTCTACCGCGACTAAAATGTCTGCATCTTTCTTTAACTCGTCCGGGAGGGGCCCCGGAAAAATCTATTTGGACTTCCTCATTTGGTTCTGCTACCGGTTCCATCTAGAACTACAGCGGTTTTCCTATTGCTGGTTTTACATTTTACCTTGCTCTGTGCATTGTTCGCAGTTCTGGGCCATTTGGACAATTGTGCCGTGGATGTGTGGGAACCAGACTTTTTCGCACAAGTTGAGCATTGCCGTCGCTCCCGAATGGGTCAAATGTAAGCTGTCTAGAATGGATGATGAGGGATGATGATCTGGTCGTCTACCAAGGGACGGTCATCCCTGACTTGCAGTCGATTTCCTACATTGTATCAGGAGTCACCGTTTGCGAATTTCAGCGCTTCCCAGTCCCGTTTCTGGGTGGCGGCGGCTATGAGTTTGGCCCTAATGACTTGTTGCAGTTTCCTCCGGTAGAGTTGTGTGTCCTATTCTGCCTCAGTTGCGGTGGCTCTATCTGCAGTTTCCAGGACACTTGTCACAGTAAGCTCGTGGCTAAATTTAATTGAGTGCGGGACCTTGTTGGCGGGGCCTCGTTAGGCGATCTTTCTTCGATGGCGACGTAATGGACGCAATCTCTACTGTGAGCTCTGTTTGCGATTGCATGTCATTAGAGGTTGTAGTTTTAGTCGTATTCTGTGTCTGTGTTGTTAATTCCGTTTTCTTTGACTCAGTTTGGGTCTCTTTTGTTTTCGGTGGACTGCTCAATCTGTCGAGAGTATCTGTTACTTGTGTTCAGATGTTCGGGATGTTTTTGTGGTCGGGTTTGGTGATTCTTTTGGTGTTCTTAGTAGATTCCATCTGGTCTTCATCTCGTGTTGTTGTGCAGTCTGAAAACACGGTTTTCGGAAATTTAAGTAAAATTCTACTTGGGATAAGTTCTCTGGCGTCTCAAACTGTTTGTTCCGAGTTTGTTGTTGTTAGTGGTGAGTGTGTTGTCCTGGAGTGGGTTGTCCAGTGCTCGTATGTGGTTGTTTGTGTTCTTCAATGTCAGCGTGGCTCAGACACTCCTTCCCAGTCGGACTCTCCTTTTCACACGATTTCAGGGTTTTGACCTCTAGGGGTCGTTTTCGAAGAGCTGCATCCCCCTCGTGTCCGTGCACTATCTGGGATGAAACTACCTATGTTGCCTTTTGTCTCATTTTATCGTCTGATTGTTTAATGGTTGAACTTTGCTGATAAAATAAAATTCATAGTACTCTGGTTTTTCAGCAATTTTGTCTGCTGATTTTTGAGAGTGAAATTGGTCAAAAGACTGTTTTTGTTCTGAGTCAAATGACCGCTTGTGCTATGTTTGGATTGTGTGAAGTGCCCTTGACATGTCGATTGAGCTGTTGCATTCCTTTTAATGTCAGCGCGCTTTTTGATCAGCCGACTAAGGGCTCAATTCTGATTGGCTAGCCTGTTCAATATGACGTTGTCAATCAATTCAAGACTGGAAAAACATGAATTAACTGACGCGACAACAAATTCCTTGTCATACTTACTGGAGGTTAAAGCTAATCCCAGCGGATTTCTCGACATATAACCAATTGGTCAAATTTTTGTTCCTGCTAGGTGTTTGATATCAAATGTGAATGAAATTAACCTATCGATCTGCCTGGTGAGCCTACTTTAGCTAGTTTTGATTGTTTGATGGCGTTTAATGCGCTGAATAAAATTTGATGGTCCGAAATGATTGTGAAATTTTTCGCCTAAACGACTCCTATAACCCAAACGATTCCGAATAGTTCTAATTCTTTTACCAAACATTTCTCTTTTAGTGAGTTTAGAAACGTTGAGGCGTATGCTGTTGCTACCCAGCCTACATTAGTATTTTACTCTAAAACAGCCCCTTACCGAAATGTACATGCGTCACAGACTACCCGGGTTTCTAGATTTTGGTTGGAATGTTTTTTTTTCAGTTAATTCAGATACAAGCTTTAGAATGTTGTGGAACGCGGGTGTATGTTCCGGCTTCCAATCTAATGTTTTATATTTGTCTGAAACTTTTAGCAGTTTTTTCAATGTGAATGCTGTTTTTCCAAGGCTTGAGATGTATCTAGTGAGGTGGTGTTTTGACCCCATGATGCTTTTCAGTTGTTTAAACGCTCTTGGGATGGATAGTTTTAGTATTGCCTCTGTTTTTTGTTTAAGTGTTAACGGGTCTACGCTGCTTATTTTGTAACCCAGCTACTCGAATTGTTCGCACGAGTGTTTGTTGTCAGAATCAATATGTCATCAAGGTAAGCAAACATACTTTCACTAATTTGTTAAAATGAGATCGATAGCTTTTTGGAATTCGGCTGGCATATCCGTGAGGCCATAGAATTCCGTTTGAAACTGGTATGTACCTGTAGCTTTTCCCCCTATCAAGCTAAAACTACATTAGTTTTTTGTTACGGTATCCAGAGGGGTTTGTGATTATGCATAGCGTAGATCGAGCGTTGTGAATAGATTTTTTTGTTTTTCCTTCGTCCTGATGATTTGTGCGATATTATCTAATAATAGTCCATATTGGGCATTTGGTACTAATTATTGGGCTTGAAATTTTTAATTTTTCTTGGAGTCAAGTGCAAGTTTGACCGTTTGGTCCTTTTTGACTGTTCTGGCTATTGGACTGTTGAATTGCTCGTCCGATCGTTTGTCTAGCTTTTTGATATGCTTTTGATCTATTTGTTGGTTTAGTTCGGGTTCCACTCGCTCTTATTGATGAATGAGTGTTCTTCGGCTTTTTTGTTGGATTGGTTCGATATGTGAAGTGAGTTCGCATCACGTGTTTTTTCCCGGTTCGCACGCAAAGTTGTTGAAGATTTTCTTTATTCCAGTTTTTTATTTCCTCGTCTGATTCTTCTTCTTTCTCATGTAGATTTAGTACCTGGTTGTGTTTTCGTTTTTTCTTGCACGAGTTTGATGCCGATTTTTGGTAGATTGACCCGCCTGATGATATTTGACTTTTGATCATGCACAATGATAATTGGTACCGATTAGAGTGTCCATTCTCCGGACTCCACCGCAAAACTTAGGCGCCCTTGTGGAACATTATTTTTTCCGTTGTAGCAGGCAAGGTTTTGAGCGGCGTCCGCCGGTGGAATGAGTTTGATTAGTGTTGAGCGGCCATTTTGGCGTAGTGTTACTGCCATTTTTTCATTGACAAAAGTCATTGGGCTTCCTGAATCCACAATAGCAAACAGTTCTTCTGATTTTGTCTTGAGTTTCACTATATGTCCATTTAAGTCATCTTCTCCTATGTTATTGAGGTCCGGATTTAAATTATTTCTGATATGGCCCAAACGGTAAAATTGTCCTGAAGAATTTCCTCCCAGTTGTTTGATGGCATGAATTCGGCATAAGCCACTGGATCGATATTGTCCCCAGTGGCGACACAATCTTCTTCTTCATCTTCTTGCTGATAACTGCCGGTTCTTAGCATGCAGTTAAAATTTATTGGTCAGTATACTTTTGCAATATGACTTCATTTAGCGCATTTTGTGCAGAATTTGTTTTTGCTCGGCAAAACTGTAAATGATTTGGCCCAAATTTTCTGCCACATTTATAACAGGGTTTGTTTCGTCCCATTTGTTGGTGTTGTTGCCCACGTAGGTTGTAACTTCCCCGGGGAAAATTGTTCCGACCTCGCAGTTTTCCCCGGCCCCTTTGGTTGTTTTGGTACCCGTTGGGGAGGTTACCATCTCTTCCGCATGGTTGGACATAACCTATTGATTCTTGTTTCAATGTTCTGTTTGGGGTTGCTGGTACTCCAGATGGTTTTGTTTTCATTGCCTTACTATGTTCTAAACCTTTATCTCTCCTGATTGCATATTCATAAGCGTCTTGCAGTGATCTAGTTTCTGCCAACATTTTTTCTGCAATTTTTTCATTGGACATTTGAGCCGTGAAGATATCACCGCCCCATCTTTTCGATTTCCGCAATTGGCCCGTTATGCCATTTGACAAAATCCGCGTGGAATTGTTCCAGCGTTTCGTTTTTCCGTTGATTCCGACAAGCAAAATTGTTTTCCTCGAAAGCTATAATTCGATAACTGCAAATATATCTTCAAGAATTCGCATTAGCTCTTTTGTTGATGTTTGAATATCAAGGTTTGGTCTCTTTTGTTGCAGTTGTCGTAGCTCTTCTGCTCCTAGGTACAAGAATGTGTAGCTTCTCACTTTGGCGTCCGGGTCATCCCAATGTACATTGTTGCACATGACACCCTTGTCTCTGCTTTTTATCAAATTATTTGCCCAATCGACTCGTTTTTCTTGGTTTCTGATATCTATATTACGTTTTTGTCCCAGTGATTTCAACCTCGTAGGTTGGTTCAGTTGGTTCTAGCACTGGGGGTTTCGTCCTCAACAAAATTCTGACCCTCTATCCCATCTTTGGCAAACACGGCCTTTTACATCCTTGCGGCCTACTTTAACAATTCCAGTGGTGGTTCTACTGATGCTTTCTGCTAAAATGGTTGGTTACTCGGAGGTTCCTTATATCCTGCTGACTGCGCCATGTCTTATCGTAATGTATGAGCTTTTATAGAATCCGAACGGATTGGCTTTTTTAATCTAAGTAACTCTGATTGAGAAAAGGAACTGAACATAATTATGAATTAACAGCAACTGAACGGTACCGCTCAGCCATATGGTCTTTGTTATCAGTCAAGGACATGCATCTGGTCTGTTACTAGCTATGTTTAATTTGCATATAAATATAAATACTTAGTAGTGATTCGTGCTAATCCGGCCGGATGACACTATATATGGCGTGCGGGTGGATGACTTTCGCAAAAATCCAAATTAATTTTTTTTACATTTAATTATTTCATTTTTTTACTGCTCCCTAGACCTTAAAAGGCGGTCGGAACATTCAGGGCCTCGACCTGATATGAGCAGTCTTGTTACAATTGCCTTTTTTTTTTGTAACCAACTTTGTTCACAGCATTCTTACCCTGGATACCCTGGAATTATCTCACTCAGTTGGAATTATTGCAGTAGATATCTTCTGAGCAGATTGACCATTCAATAAAACTGCGCCAAGTATATAAATCAGCATTTTTTTGTAAAAGATTTGAGTGAGTTTTGTGACTGTTACTTCTCTTGCGTGGTCTTTTATAAGTAAACAACATATATATGCTAAGTCTTTATATATAAGTAAACCAGTACTTTCGGTTCGCTTATGCCACCGATTAAACCTACTGAAAAGAAAGTTTTCGCTTCTCAGAGATATAAATTTTTTTAAAATTCACCAACAGATGAATTCCAGTGTTTTTTTCTGCTTCTACCTAAAGTAAATGTAGTTTTTTTTAAATTGATGGTAATGATAGTTGTTACTGCTTTTGTAAACAATCATGAATGTCATAAAGGAGCTCAAAAAATAACAGATATTCAACCATCCGCCATATCTAAAAACTGCCATATCTTGAAACCAAAATTACATAACAATTGCATAATCAGCAACAGTCTAAGTACATTATTAGAATCAGTATTAGTTTTCCACGTGTTGGAATGGTAATCTTAATTTCGGTTTGTTGGCCCTTCGGCTTTGTTGGCCTTTGACTTATAATTTTTATTATCATTTATTCCAGGCTAACCCCGTGTTTAGATAATGAACATAGAGACGGGTGAGACTGAGCTGTGTGGGGTGGAGGGGGAGGTATGTATGAGGGCCCCCTCTCTCATGCAGTGCTACTTGAACAGAGAGGAGGAAACCAAGAACACAATCATGTCAGACGGGTGGCTCAGATCAGGTGCCTCCTACATTAAGACATTGAAACAGTACAGCAAATGCTCGTAAAATAGCTGTAATAGTTTGGAAAAGCTGGAACAAAGTTAGCCGGTCCAAGTAGCCTGGACAGTAGCATAGAGAGTTCCAACCAATTTCATAAAAACTAGATAAGTTTTTTTTTCAAGCTTGTGTCAATTCCTGTGACGACGGTAATAGACAGTCGATTATGCTTAAATTAAAATTTTGGTTCTTTTTATCTAATACTTATTTACTCAAAGTAGTTAAATAGATCATTTACTCCCTGTGTACAAATTACTTCAAATAGATAATTGACTCCCTCAAACAATTTTGGCAAGCCAATTTTGTAATCTCAAATGCAAAATCCCAAATATTGAATCTCAAATACTGAATCCAAAATACTGACCTAGTTCGGCGATATGCCAGCTCAATTACGAATAAACTCAATTACCGAATTAATCCAATGATATGATTCGGTGCTGTGTTTCCAAAACTATGATCCCAAAAACTGCTTGCAAATACTAAATGGTGACATACATCGATTAAGTTAACCAATATTTTAAGATTTGTTCGCTGACAATCGTCAAGTCCTTGCTTTTAAATTCCGCAAGTGCATATGCAAGTTCAGTGAAATATTCAAATTTTTGATTTTTTTTACACTTTGCGGAATCCGATTACATTTGCGGATTTCGCTTACAAATTTTGCAGATTCCATTTACATTTGCGGATTCCACTTACATTTTGCGGAACCCACTTACAGTGGCGGAATCCAGAACAACTAGCTATAATTGCTTGTTGCGGAATCTGCAGCAAATTAAATGTGCCGACAAAAATTACGTTACAAGTATATGTACGCGGAATCCACGAAAGTCTTGTAAGTGGAATCCACTTACAATTTGGAACATGTTTAAAAACTTGTCTCTGGAATCCAGGAGCATACAGCTAGAAAGTTGTGCGCCTATCCAGTGCACAGTTTGGCCTCTTAATGTTTGAGACATATACTCTCGGCGTGGTTTTTATTCAAACTTCAAACCATTTTTACAAAACAGGTTATAGATTGGGGTATAGATCTCTTTATCTACATGCCGCCAGCCGAGTGCGCACTTTACTTAATAGTAATGTGCCATGCTTATGTCGCTAAAACTGCTTGCTTTAATATCTCGCACTACAAAATCGTTCCAAATTGAATCGAGGCAGCTAATTGGTTTCATTAAATCAAACCAAAGTGATTCACGAACACAAGTTAAATATGAGTTACCTAAGTTCGAAAAAAAAATTGAAATTTTTTTTGAAAAAAAAAAAAAAAAATTTATTCCGGGGGCCGTGGGACCGTTCAAATTCTCGCATTAACAATTACGTGATTTATTCATTTGTGTCCTAATTTTCCAAACCGCAAAACCGATTTGTTTTTAGGCGATCTCGGCTACATGAATGAAGAAGGGTATTTGTGGATCACAGACCGACTGAAGGAACTGATCAAGTATAAGGGAAACCAGGTGCCCCCTGCACAGCTAGAAGCAGTTATCCTCACCCACCCCTCTGTACAGGACTGCGCCGTGATCGGAATTCCGGATGAGAGTGCGGGTGAACTACCCAGGGCGTATGTCAAGGTCAAAGAAAGCTTCGAAGGAAAAGTCACAGAGGGAGAGTTACAAGCATTCGTTAAAGGTTACAAACTTCAAATACGTCAAAACATTTTCAGTATTAGATTTGAGATCAAAACTTCAAAAGTTGCGTTTTTTTTGGCGTGCGTTCCCCTTAGAAATTGCTTTATGTTGGCGCCAAAAGCGCCATTACAAAATTTTTAGGGTTGGTCGGCTGGAGGGTAAGGGAGATCGAATCTTCCCCTAAACCCGCGATTGATTTCAAAATTACTTTTTTTGTTTCAGAAAGAGTGGCTCCTTTCAAACAACTGAAGGGCGGTGTCGCTTTCATAGACGCTATTCCAAAATCAGGCGCTGGAAAAATTCTCCGCAAGACTCTCAAAGACAGCTATCTCAACGAGCAAAAACATAAGAACGGAACAATCTAAAACATTCTAGAACAATCAAGAACAATCAAAAAGAGTAGTAGAAGATGTCTGTAAATTTCTATTTGTAATCGCAGTAAACTCAAATCAGTAATTGATTTGATTCGAGATAATTTTTGTGACGTTTTATTAATCAACTAACTTGACAACAAGGTCAAGAAACCTACCTTGCATAAAAAACTTTCACTAAAATCTAACATTAACCCAAACTTTGAATTTTGTGGAAAAGTTACCTTTCAATATTATTGTTATTATTAAAAAAACAGTGATATTTCCGAAACGAAAATAGGTTTGGTTAAAGATTCTTGGGCAAGAAGTTTTTAAGATCTTAGTTTACCCATTTTTTCTATCAAAGATTGTAACATTTCAAAATCATCAAACCGCTGCGAATAGATTTGCTTTCGAAAATTGAGTGAAGCTGAATTTGCGCTGCTTCCAATCTTGATTGTGCTTAAACCGCTTATAAAATTAATTATTCCACAATCATCACCCTTCACAGAAAAGTTTTTGTTTAGAAAAAAAATGCTTTAGATAAAAAGTGTTTTGAGTGGAACATTTCTGGACTGTTATAACAAAACTGCACGTTTATCAACTCAAAAACCTTACTTAAGGTGTTTGAGTTGATAATTTATTACATGCAAAGTTCTTGTAAATGCCTTCAGTTTGTTGTATTTCAAAATATTACTTGCAAAACTGAGTCTACTTGTAATTGGTGCTACTTTTGCTGAAGGCAGTGGCAATTTTTTGGCATATGTAGCTGCTTTATTCGTGACTAGTGTTTGTCGGTTGTTAAACTTGCGTGGCTGAGTGGATAGTGCGTCAGACTCAAAATCTCTTGATTGCAGTAGGTTGCAGATTCCAATCCTACAAGTGGCCGAGTTTTTGCTAATTCGAGCCTTATTTTATTTTTTCTTATTTCACGCAATAGAGCTGTTTTTTGGTCGTATTCCTGCAAGTGTTTGTGAAGCAAAATTTACCTCTCTGTATAAAATATACACAAAAAAGAAAAAATTATGGCACACTACAATTTGACCCACTATAATTCGTAACACAACGCACCCCTTTGGTGACAGCATTTTCTATTATCAATAACAAATTACCGCTGTAGAGTTACTAAAACTCGGCCAGATTCAAAATCAATTACTTTAAAAAAACAGCAGTGACGGGTCTTGTAAATTAAGACCAGCACTTAATCATAACGAAAAAGACTTTTCTCATTTGAAGCGATCCAAATGAACGAAGTCCAGGACAAGGTCGTCTCAAGTGAATTACTGGGTGCTATCGCACTCAACGATGTCTTATCATATTTTCCTTCGAATGGCCAGCTGTCCCACCAAGTAGCTCAAGGCAACCTCTGATCGAAATTATTCACTAGGTCTAACTCAGAAACAAACTCTCCCACGCTCGGACAATCCAAATGTACGAAAGCAGGGGATGATCAATTCTACTACTCAAGATAGATTTTTGCACCGAGGTCTTCTCCGATATGTCTCCGGGCTCCTCGAGCTGTCCTACTTACAGTACTCTTGAAACACTCAATCTAGAACTCAAACTGACTGGGGAATCGCCGGGTCAATTAGCCCACTTATCCATAAAATGTCTATTCGAAAGATCTTCAAAATTCCGTTCAGGTCCTAAGTTACTACAAAGATTTCTTAAAAGAAAATTTATGTTGCTTTGGAGAGTCTCTCTTTGGAGGGTATCCATTGTCAAAAACATGTATCCCAATTGGAGTTTTCTCAAAACTCCGTTTCTACAAAAAAGAAAATGAAGTCACCTAGACGGGTTCCTAGGACGTTTGAGTTTTACCTCAGAGGGGTCATTTTACCCTGAAAATGGTCAAAACTTGGAGAAAAAAAAACAAAACAAAAACGACTTATTGCACCAAAAGGTTTCCAATCGCTTTAGTAGTTTTTGAGCTATGAGCAAAACCGTTGTGGCTTATTTGGGTTTTCTTAGTACCTCTTTAGGTTTTCACAGACTTTTTGCACAATTATCTCTTAAAGTGCACAAATGTTTTTGAAACAAGCGCAGTAACCCTGTAAAGCACATGAATTATACAAAAAAGTACCAAGTTTGGCTTTGAAACAAAAACTTGGCCAAAAACTATCAGATTTGGTGCCTCCAAATCCGTTCTTTTTCAACTTAACGTTTTTATTTCAAATCACAGAGCTATTGGGAGCGTTGCGTTTTAACTGGTAACCCAAATAAATCCGTTACCTAAGCAGCCCTAAAATGAATTTTTTTATTCGCTTTATCTCAAAAAAATCCTAAACGATGACATGAGGCAAAAAAAATCACAAAAAAGTGATCAAGCGATCCTATTTTCTCATTTCTGATTTTTTTTTCTCCGCAGATTTTTAATATGTGAGGGACTGAATTAAAAGGTAATTCACTGTTCTGTCATTTTTCTCAGGTAGGAAAAAGTCGGATATCCAAAAGTTTCTTTCTCAGGTTTGGGTCAAAAATTGATTTCGGATCTAAAAAAAGGGGGATAAGTAACATACAATAAGAACAATATCTTATTATAAGTCTTAAATTACTTTTATTATAAGCTCATTCTTACCTAACGTCAGAATTAAGGCTTCTAATTCGGAAAATTTCAAAAGATGGAAGGAAGAAAACAAGCGGTCCCAATGTACCTTCCATCAAACTAAGTGTACAGTAATAGTACACGACCGATGCTAAAAATGCCCCAATGATACACAATAGCCGTCGTGCATTCTGATGGTGATAGTCCCTGTTGCTTTTGGTGCAAGTCTGTCGTTTTACCTCACTATCCTCCGGTCACCGGCATATCTATCATTAACGTGCTTAAAAGCTCAAACATAGAGGGTTCTCAGCAAACAACCAAGGCTACTGATTTATCAAAAAGAAACGACAGATTTCAAAATCACTCTGAAACAACAACAATTAGGAAAGCCAAATCGCATCTTCTCAGGAAGCAAAAAATAAAACAGTCATATTACACTTTTTACTGTTTTGGGTCGTTTTTTTTTGAATTTTTTCTGCTTTTAAAAGTAATTGTTTTTTTTGTAGATATACACAATTTTTGCTTATTTTTTCCTCCTGTTATTCAATTTTGGTCCCAGAGCCTTCTCTCAAGGCTCTGGGTTTAAAATTAAACCATAAGACAAAACTAAGCAAAACTTGTGTTCATCGGGCTTTCGATTTCTCATTTAACACTCTGGCCCCCGGAATTCCGTTTTAAATAACTCAAATAGCTAAGCCAAGCCAGCCGGAGAGTCCAAATTTTTCGGTTAGACCGATACAGAGAAAAAAAAATTTTATCTTGTGCATCTGCTTGGAGTGGAAGGTTCGTCGTTAAAATTTTCGCTGATAATGATGCTCATGCCTCAAAGAGACCCACCAAAAAGCGCCATAAAAATGTTTGTTTAAGATTCAACCAGAAATTACATAGCTCTGAGAAAAAAGAAGAAAACAATTTTGATGAATCGCTGGTCTCAGATACTTCCAGTTGTAGGGGTTTTTCCAGTTGATATTTATACCAGTTGATTTTTGGTCTTTTCTGGGATCAACGAACTTGTTACGAATTTCTGGACATCAACCGAACCAATTTCACTTAGCTTCCGACTTACATATAAATGCTACCATAGCTAGATTTCGGATCCCCTGACTACTTAGCTAGAACTCAAAATGGGGCTTAAAACCTCAAATTTCCATTTTTTTAATGTTATTTATATGTCGTTTTCATTGGAGACAGGTTAACTTTTTCCTCTCCCTGGACTACTCGTGCTCTGAAACGAATAACCCACGGAAGTATTCAACAGTTCGGGCAATACAGGAGACAAAAGAGCCTTAGATTGAGTTTTTTGACACCCAATTCACTATCTCGAGAGATAACATCCTTAAATTCCCGGGTTCTGAGAATTGGGATGTGTCCCGAATTATCCATCGAATCTCCGGCTCCAACATAATTTGGCAAATAACTCTTTTACCGCACAAACCTAGAGCGTTTTTCGTCGCGCGTTATTTGTCGATCGTAATTATTCGGCGGTCGTATCTGATTTTTTATAAATTACAAAAAAATTTTTTAGTATTTCTGAAAAATATTAAATCTCAAACCGAATTTTCATTTTTCAAAAATTTAGAGTACTCTGACCCTCCTCCTAAAACTAGTTATCCCGCTAACCACTTCAGAAGATTAGCATTTTCCTTCTGGCGGATTGACTTCTTTCTGGTTTCTTGATTGGAAAATGATCTGCCTTTAAGGAAAATCAAACATAATCTTCTTCTAATACCAGCTTACACAAAAAACATGTACGGAAACAACACAAATAATAATTATGAAAGAACTGAACATCTACACTTTTGACCAAAGTTCAGCATTCATAATACCAAAAGCGTTGGTTCAGATCTAATTTGGAACCAAAATGAAAATATACAATCAAACAACCATTAGCAGCATATTTTTTAAAACTGTAGAATTTAATTGTAGGGAATATTTTCTATTTATATTAAGTGAAGATCCTTCTATGGTGATGGATGGAAAAACAATATCGAAACAGTCTAAATTTGTTTGAAATTAAACTTATAACCATTGTATTATTTTGTAAAACAATAATTAACCAAAGAAAAATGCGTATTTTTCACTTTCTTAATGTTAATAACTCACGTTTTGCTACTTTAGTGTTCATTTTTTAGTTGTGAATCACTGTATGATCTAGATTTGTAACTTCTAGGTTAAAAGCATTAAAAAGTTTTTTGTGAACAGTCGGTTGTTGTAAGGCTTTATTTTAATTTCTTTCTTTAATCACCAATGTGTTTGACCTCGAAACCTTTCGAATTTTAAAGGACACACTGAAAAATGTGATTTATGAAAACGCCCTGGGAAACATTGTTCATTTTAAGAAAATTATCGAAATCCTATCGACGTCAACCAAGGAAGGAGAAAAAATAAAAAAAGTTTTCGACGTGGAAAATTTAAAAAATGCGGGTAAATCAAAAACTTTGGAAAACATAGTCAAAAGCAAAAAGAAATGGAACAAAGAAAACGTAACAAATACCAGACAATATCAATTTATCCCACCAGACAAAAACACCATTCTTAAAAACCTAAATTACCGTTTTTTAGTGATATTTTATGTAGTTTTCATCGAAGAAATTTTCCTCTCCCTGTACTACTCCTGCTCGGAATTGAATAACCTACGGAAGTATTCAACAGTTCGGGGCAATACCGTAGAAAATAGAGCCTTCAAATGAGCTTTTTGACACCAAGCCTCCTTTTTCATTATCTTCGAGAGATAACGTCTTCAAAATCCCGGG